GTAGGATACGTTATTTAGGTTTTGTTAGAGCTCTTGGAATTAGTTTAAGTTGTATTTTTAAAAGCTTATATAGTATGCGTTTTATCTTATAAAACATTAAAGCTTTAGAAACGTCATTTGAAATGATATTAAAGAGATTTTTACAACCGGTTTAACGACTTAGGACCTTGCAAATTTTATCGGAATTACTCAACATAATAAGTAATGAATAAGTAAGTTGTAATAAACATTAATTTAATTTGTTAATGTTAGGGTAATGACTGCCATAATGAATCTAACTATAATTATCTAGACCGGGAACGAATGGAAAACGGATTGAGACGATTTAGACCGTCAAAGCTACACTGACCGCCTTTTTGATCGGGTTTTGCACAAAGCGCTTTTTTTTGCTCCCTTCCTATGAGCTTTCCGAGAAATTGTGCATTGGATCACCAGTTTTCTCGCAGATCGAAGCACCAAAGTCCTATACAGTAAAAAGGTAAAATACTTACTAGTACTTATTAGTACTTATTAGTACTTGGAGCAGCGTCAAAGGTGCAAGACAAATGTCTTTACTACGACGGTACTACGACCGTCAAACTGCCTGACAAGCTTGACGATTAAAGTGATTCTCTACAACCGGAGAAGACCATGTACACCAGTGGACTTTAACTGGCTGACAATGAAAAAAAAAGGGTTTATTTATAAGAATATATTACAGCCACATGTTTAAAAGCAAAAAGTTTATATTTGAACAAAAAGTTTATATTCAAAATATTTTATAAAAAAAGCGCTGTAGAATATAAGGTTGCCTTCATTATTTACAACTAGCCTTTACCCGGGAATACACTCTGTCAACCACGGCGAGATATGAACGATGGTAATCCGTAGGCGTGGTAGAACCACTATAATAATTGTCGTAGTAGAAATAAATTGTAGCACAGTACATTTTTTTTAAATGAAACATGCCATCCCACTCACAATGATAAAGTCAAAAGTTATTAAATACAAAAAAAATAAAAAATAAAAAAAGAAAAAAATTATGTCTAAGTTCAAGAAAAAGAAAATAATATATTTTTAGTAGATGAATAAACAAGAGGTTAGCGGCTGATTCTAGAAGAGAAAAACTAACTACCCGTATGAAATATCGAAATCGATCAGAAAACGCGGTAGCAAGATGTTCAAGAGTTGATTGTTTTCGATTGTCAAACATTTAGATTACTCTCAATGGTTTTCTAGCTTAAGATCGTTCTTTTTTATACCTGATTGTAGTTGTAATGAAGTGCAAAAGGTGCTCACGTTGATTTTTGTGAGTACAAATTTATTTAATTCTTTTAGTACCTACTTAAAATGCTTAACTCAGTTATATACATGGTTTGTTATGCTAATCAACTAAGGGTTCAACCCACAAATGCCGATATATATTTATTCCAAAATATATAACTAAAAAAACTCCTACTGAATATGGATGTTTAGCAGAGTCAACAATGCTCCTCGAATATTTCAAGCTTATCAGCGCTTACCATCCCCCACATGTCGAGATTCAAGATTATGCATACAAGTTAGCGAATTCTTAGAAATACATATACCGTAAATTAGTTGTCAGAAAAAAAGAAGAAACAAGATGACATTTATTTAAAAGATTATCTTAGATTTTATTACAATACGAGCTGGAACCCGGCGCGTTGCAGCGGCAGAAGAAATAGTTGTGGAAATGTTGTTTTAAATTTGGAAGAGTTATATAGTTTAATTAGGAATGTTAATACATTCATTTAAGTAAAGATAAACAACTGAAATAAATTTATCGGTACAATACGTGAGCCACCTACTGCAAATTAATTATCCTATTACTATATAATATTGTAATATTATAATTATACTATTTATTATAATTATACTATTACTATATATTATAAGCATTGTTGTTTTAGTTGTATATTTATTAATATTAATTACAAGTTTATATTATTTATTACTAACAAATGATGGAGCTTGTATCTGAAATAAAATTATTATTATTTTTTGGGTTATTAATAGAGTAATCACATCTGGTTGGGCTGGATAAATATATAAAGGGAAAAATAAATATACTTAAATATATATTTAATATACTAACATAAATAAATAAAAGCCCAACCAGATGGAAGCCCTCGGCAGGGGAGACCAAACGGCCGAGGGTTAAGATGAAAGGGAAAGAAACCGGCGGACAATGCGGGCGGTATCGAGGTGCACCGCCTTCTGCATTTGAGCCCGGAGCGGTCCGTCACGGAGTCCCAGTCACCTCAGATGGCCCGAGAGGCTGGTTGGGATTAACCCGTTTGCAGACACTACTACAGGAATAATAATTTTGGTCGGCAGATCACCCCACATGTCGGTCACCTCGTGAGCCAGGTCCAGATATTTTGATTGCTTGTCTCTTTCAGCTTTCACGAGGTTCTTGTCATACGGAATGGTAATGTCGACCAAAAATATCCTTGACTGTGCCCGGTCCATCAGCACAATATCAGGCTTATTGGCAAGAATATCCTGTCTGTGATGATGGTCCGGTCCCAGTAGAGTCTGGCGCGGTCATTTTCGAGCACGGCTTCCGGCAAGTACTTGTAATACGGCAATTTTCGGTCCACGAGACCGTATTTCAAAGCGAGCTCCTGGTGTAGAATTCTGGCTACTAGGTTGTGTCTGTGCAAGTACTCAAAGTTAGAAAGCGTCGTACAACCGGAGATGACATGCCTAAGTGACTCCCCGGGATGGCGACAAGCTCGACAGATGTCAACAGTGGCATCCTTTAGGATGTATCTCCGATAGTTGTTGGTCTTAATAACCTGATCTTGTATTGCACAGACAAAACCCTCGATTTCCCCGAAGAGGTCACCGAAACGTAGCCAGTTGAGGGAGGCGACTGTATCTACGAAGGGCTCATGTAGAGCTCTGTAGTACCTCCCGTGGAGCTCCTTCTCCTTCCATACGGTTTCCCGGTCGGAAATGCTGCTCTGCTGCACTGCTGGGTCCTGCCATTGCTCGTTGGCTAAGGATAGAGGGGTAAGCCCTTTATCACTAGAAATGACGTCACTATAGAATGGATCATCCGATCTCGTCAGGAAGTAATTACGGAGGCTGCACACTTCGCGATTATGCATGGTGAGCGCGCTCAGAAAGCCACGCCCACCATGCTTTCGCGGCAAGTACAGCCTCATTACCGACGATCTCGGATGATGCATCTTATGGGACGTCATGGTAGTGCGGACTTTTCTAACCAGAGCGTTAAGTTCAGTCTGGATCCACCTGAGTATGCCAAAGGTATACATGAGGACAACCGTTATATGCGTGTGTCTTATTCACACCGGACAAAAGGCTGTTAAGCACTTTGGTCAAGCGTGCATAAAACACGTCGCAAACTGACTGTTTCATACCAGCCTCATCGATACCGATGTTCTGTGACATACCCAGGTATCGTATGTTTCAGCCTCGGAAAGGGTCCTTAAGTTGACGGGCATAGATAAGTCTATGCCCTCAGAGTTAGCAACCCTTCCCCTTTCCACATGGAGGACCGCACACTTATCCGTTCCCAGCTCCATTTCAATAGAATTGCTAAATTCACAAGTGATGTTTAGCAATTCCACAAGATGGGAGCGACTGGAGGCGAATAACTTGAGGTCATCCATATAGAAAAGGTGGGTCACTTTTGTACCTCCTTTCCGAAGCTGAAATCCCCTCCCGGAGCCCTCTAGTAAAGTACTAAGAGGGTTCAGAGAGAGGCAAAACCAGATTGGACTCAGACAATCGCCCTGGAAGATACCCCTTCTTATCATTATGTGGTTCTCCGCAGCCATCATCAGCTCGCCCAGATAGCAAAGGATCGTACTCCACTGCCCCATACACTGCTCGAGGAAGTCTCCAACTGTACAGTCAATTTTGTACAGCTGGAGGACTCTCTTTAGCCATGTATGGGGCACCGAGTCGAATGCCTTTCTGTAGTCTATCCAGGCGGCGGAGAAATTCCGACGGTTGCGTTTCACCACTTTGCCAATGACCGCGTCAATGAGGAGTGGTTCCTTGGTTCCACGACCACCGCCCCGACATCCATTTTGAGCGCGTGACCTGATTTAGCTCCAGGTGACGAGTGATTCTCGCGCTCAAAATGGATGTCAGTGTCTTATATATGGTGGGTAGACACGTGATGGGGCGGTATTTGCTCGGGTCTGTGGTATCCTGATCTTTAGGAACCAAATGAGTGATCCCAGTAGTGAAGAGGCTCGGGAGCGACTTCTGATCGAGAGCCTCTTGAAACTGTCGGGCGAGCACAGCGTGACACACTACGAACCCCTTCAGCCAGTAATGATGCAGCCCGTCGAGCCCCGGACTTTTCCAGTTCGGGGCCCTACGGACCGCCTCAGCCACGTCTTCAGGCGTTATGGTGACGGGGTGCATAGGCGTAACACTTGCACTCTGGCTCGCCACAACTTCCATCCAAGGGCCCTCGCTGTGGTTTACGGGCTCTGACCCCAGGCCACGCCAAAATGCGACAGTGTCAGCCTGATCTGGTCCTGGGCCCGCTCCACATACCTCTGGTCGCTCCAATGATTTATAGAGCCTCTTCTGATCACTCTGGAAGAGACGATTCTGGTTGAACCGCCTTGACCTCTCGCTAAATCGTCGAATCCGCTGCCCCCAAGCAGCGATTTTTTGCTTCAGGTCATCTATGCGCTCCGTTAGTTTTTGCGTGATATCCGGCTGGGACAAACTAAAATTTGTCCCATCATACGCCATTCTAACGGTGCGCACAACTCTCGGTCTATTATTACCTGAAGCTTGTCAGTCTGCCGATAAGGGCCCTTGCCTTTGCGATACGGTCCTCAATTCTTTTTCTCCAGGCTGGGATGGCGCTACTTTTTTGAGTAGCACGTCCAGCCACGGGAAGTTTGGCGCCAATAATACGGCATACTGCCAGTGCGGCGCCAAAAAGAATTGAGTCCGTCTCGCAAAGGTCCCGGCTGGCTTCCAAATAGGCCACCAGCATTGGGTTAAGAGCCCGCACGACAGCCCGATTTCGCTTGCTGCTTGTGGGGAAGTCGCGGTCGATTTTCGAGAGGCATGCTGCGCGTTTCCAGCATCGACTCTTCCAATATGCTCCTCATTTTCTCTAGTTCGTGGGAGACTATTCCATCATCGTCTGAATTAGCTACAAATGGAATGTTGACGGCAGCATCCACATATGCAGTTTGTTGCGCATCTAGTGGCGCCGCAATCCCAGCCGTAGCATTTCCATTCGATGAAGAAATAGCCTCACGTCGTAGTCGTTCGAGTTCGGCGTCACCAAATATATTGGAGCGCAGGATGTACCGAACTCCGTCTGACAGGTTTTGCTCAGTGACGGATAGAGCTGGTTCCAGCTCTGCAAAAAAGCGATGCATCCGAGCCCGATACGCCAAACATCCAGTTTCTTCCCCTTTTAATACGCCTAAAATACGCCCGCAGTGCGTTTGCATTCATTAATTTTAACCAACGCATGCGACGTGCTCCACCAGCGGCGGGTGCCGCTTACTGAGTCCGAGAAGACCCAGCCGACATTAAGCCTTCTGGTGGAGATGATGGATGCGGGGGGCTGCTACGTGGTCTTGCAACACCCCGCGCTCGGCAGGAGGCCCGCATACTGTCGCGTCCAGCGCCAGCTCCAAAGGCGCCCTGGCGACCTCCAGGCAGCGGCCCTTTGCGCACTATCTTTTTTTCCATCATCCATAATTTGGGCGTCCATTAACGGGAGACGCCCAGGCCCGGCACCGTATTGTGGACGGCCATAAGCACAAACGGGCCTTTGCACCCTGAATTCTGCCGAGGCACGGCGCTCACACCTCTCGCAAGGCGCTGACTGACTGCGTTGACGTAGCAGTTTTGTCACTTAACTGTTACGTCAGCGGGCGATGGGGTCGTCAATTCCCTACGCCATTATTATTATTATTATATAAATTAATGGCTGACCGCTCAATGCAGCAAAAATAGTAAAAGTTTATGTGGTGGCTTCAATAAAGAGCGCTACGAATTCCCGACGAATCTTGTTTTAAATTTTAGTCGAAGAGCGATCTTAATTGCAGACTTCAGCTGCTGATAGCTCTGGACTAACAGTGCCAAATTTATGTGTGATGTTACTGATGTTTCAATCAAAGTCAAATAAAACATTGTGTATATTAATTTATACAAGTATATCATGTCGACGACCTCAATTCAGTTGTCAGCGATCAAATTGATTAAATGTTATTATGATGCGACTCTACACTCGCTGGATTGTCGACTCTCCTTAATGGGCTTTAATTGGCACATTGCAAAAGAAGCTTTTTCTCGTGAATAAAACGGACATATCTGAATATTTCTTATTATTTCATCAAAATCTTTCACAACATTCCTATTTAATGCCAAAAAAGAGACCAGACAGTTAAAATATAAGAGTCAGTCGTTTAATTAACCATAGAATGTAACTCAGATCATAGAAAATTTATGATCTGAGATACGTAATATATTCCCGCTATCTATAACTAAATGCTCAGATATTCTGCCAAAATCTTTAGCTTTATTATTTAAACACACCTTAAGGTGATTCCTCGAAAATTTGGGTGGTTTTTCTATTTCACACATTTTTTAAAATTTTGTAAGTAGTTTACGAACAACAATTTTGGTATATGATTTTGGACTATTATATATGACCTTGAACTTAGGAATCCAAGGTCGTAAAACCTTGGATTTCATAAAAGGAAAACACGATATTTCCCCATAAAAAAATTACAAAGTAGGCTCTAATTAACCTTCGCTTGTAGCGTTTATATATATAATGGTGATTTACTATTGATAATTGGCGAGTATAGTAAAGGTACTTAAAATATTATTTGACAACAACCGAGTCGACTATGGAATGTATGTAGATATGGTAAATAAATTTATGTAAAAACGATAATATATTTAAACGTGGTAGAGCCATGCTGCTACTTTTGTCTTATTTGTAATATATTCTTGATAAAATATGTTTTCTAATGTATTTTTTATGTTTTTATCTTATGTATTAATATATATTATGTATTAAGAAATGAATAATACACTAATAAAATAGCTACCATTAAAGATACATATAATTCATATAGTAAAAGTGAATATAATTTATATGACGTTTAATTTTTAGCACACACAACACTTACAGTAATTTTTTTTTTTGTTGTAATTGTTCAACATATTAATTGGTTTTAGTTATTAAATGTTTTTCATTAATATTAGTAATAACAATTATTAGTTTGGCAGTAATGTAATATAGTTGTAGTACGAATGTTAGCTCGGCCGGGAAAGGACCACGTTCTCACAGAATACCAGCGTAAAATAGCATATCAACGCTACTGTGTTTCGTATGGTGAGTGTAGAAAACCGAAGACCCTTTTTACTGGCAACGAGGCATTCCATGTTAGTCCTCAGGGGTGGCTACACATCTGCATTTTAATTTGTAATCGAGGATAGATGTAGATGTCTATGGGCAACAGCAACCACTTAACATCAGGTGGACTGTGTGCTCGTTTGTCACACTGTCCTATAAAAAAACAATTTGAGATGCCAATATCCAGATGCTGGCTGTTACGGATTATAAAATACAGTAACGAATACATTGATTACATAATTAATAAAGCACATTTAGTAGTGAAAGATTTCCCTTTTACCTGTTATCTTCACCGCCGCGTCAATAATTACAACGTTGTTGTTATGAACAAAAACGCAATAGACCAGTTGCAGTGTATACCACGCATTAACAAGTTATGTTAGTGTGAACCCGGCACGCCAGCACATCAAAGAGCTTAAAATAGACGTTGAGTCAGCAGTGTCGGGACCGGCACGAGAGTTGCGCTGAATACAAACCACGTTAAGCTCTATTTGTAATCTGTAAGATTCATTGTGTGCTTGAATTAGATATCAGTGATGAGGTAACAGTCGAATATTATTTTAGTATTATAAAATTGTTTATATTTGCGGGTGTTTAATCTCATTTAACTAAATTTTAAAGCTTAGTCATATATATGTATAAAATTAAAAAATATACGACATCCACAGCAAAACTAGAATAATACTGTTGCACGCCATAATTAATGCCTGGTACTTGGCGAGTTACTACCAGTGCCATCTAATATCGAGTAACAGAACTACGAGAGTCAAGATCTTTCTACAAAATTCCACTTTCTACACCTAGTCAGTCGGGGCCGGTATGTACTCGAATATTCCAGATGTTAGTTAAAGAGGCTCTATATAAAGCCGGTTAGGACCGCGACCGAGTCAGTATTGAATTGGCGATTCAAACAAATACTTAAAAACGATACAACAGCGAACTAAAGTGATCAGGAGTACAATTGTGTTTAATTATTAGTGTGGTTTTAAGTTGTGATTGGTATTCTGTAATTAGTGTCTGATTTGGTAATTCAATCAGCAGTTTTTACTCGTAACAATATGTTATAACTTCTTATATTTACGTGAACACTACACAATGAATAAAACTGACAGAGTTAACTCGGAGTTCTTAAAAAGCTGAAGGTACTCCGGGACGTCAGTCACCTCAGTCCCCCGCGACCATGGGGGCTGGAAAGCACCCGAAACGTCGGGTATTATTAAAAAAATTAAACGCGATAAAATCCGTAAAGGTAGTTTTATTCAATAGAATAATATGTTCATGTAGTAGTAGGGTTAGTTAAAGAGACCATAGAGTTTGGCAATAAAATAAAATCAAAATGAGATATCTCGATTGAGTAAGGGCTTTGCAGTTTGCAGATAGTTCTGCTAATATATCTCCACGTTTTTTGACGTCTAGGGAAACCATCGTTTTTAGAGAGCACATTTTCGGCTCGCGTATCTTGTGAACGAAAAGAATAATAAAGACTACAATAAAGAAACTCCGAAACAGTTTCTTTCGACGCGTAACATCGTAATGAATAATATTTTAAGTTCAGTTTAATGTGGTTTACTGCATTTATTATTTTATTTCATAGATATAATTAATAAAATAAGGCTTGCGAAGTTTGTAGTTTGAGTAGGTCTGATGAGACCTACCCAAAGCAGCCCGCTTCTTTTTATTTTTTACTTATAATATATATAATAGTGACATACGAGGTTAAAATTCATCTTATAGAAAGTGGATATAGCGCATCAAATAAAAAGCCCAAAGATACGTTATCACCTCCGAGGAAGTCACAGAGCATTTTTGATGCGATAAATTATCAGAGGACAAGTTTGTTTGTTAGCTTAGTCATAACAACCAAGCAAGGAGACACTTGACCATATAGAGTGTACTGTGTACAGATCTGGGGACTCGACGATACCTAATATGGTAACTATAATCCTTTAACGAGTCAGATACATAGAGAGAGTATTTTTCCTATCTTAAAAGAAACGCTTTTTTTACCGATGCAATAGCAATTAAGATTACAGAAATAAAAAAAGCCCATCCGCCTGACAGGCGTCGTTCCTATGGCAAATTGATTTAGATTGTCAGGTCATAGATTGTCACATAAGGGGGATCCCCTATGAGACAATCTATGGGGGAGGCCTTTGTTCAACAGTCCAATATTGACATTCTGTAACTGCAACTAAATTAAAAAACTGTGTGGGTAAGGTCGTAAAAAAATTTACTTTTTGAAAGTTTTCAGTGGGCCCATGTTTGATTGTGAATACCATACGTTAACAAAAAGTATGATAATATTATTAATTAATAAAACATTGATAATCATGTTTAGAATAATGTAGAAATAACCATAATATTCAAGAGGCTTAAACATAAAAAATATTTTTGAATCAACAAAATAAAGCTGCATACAAAATTTATGTGTCTCCTATCCCGACAAAAATATGCAACAAATAAAAATAATATAGGATTATGGTTTTAAAATTGTAGTTTACTTTGAAAGCAATAAAGAAGCCTTGTGATAATGTACAAAATATTGCAATAATACAATGCTAGTGGAAAATAATCTCATTCTAATTTGTGTCTCCAAAAGTTATCCAGTGTGTTACTCCGATTCGATATGGGATAGATTTTTTGTTTTCAACATTAAACAACATTATTGACCTAATTTCGATGAGGCAATGCCGTAGGCTTACTGTCAAATGTCAATTTTGACATATTTTTTTCATTTGTAGTCGTGACCGTAAACAATTGTAAATTCCATAATTTAGAGCACAAATTTCGGGCAGTGTATATGTCAATTCTACGTGAGAAGTACAAAGATATCGTTTACTAGATTCCTGATTCGAAATTTATAGTCAATTACCAGTGTATGTCAAGTTTTATTAAGTAAATCCCGCATTATTTATGACCGGGATTCATTGTTGAGTTTTGAATATTCGAGTGTGTTTGTTCCAGTTCGTTACGTGTGTTATGGTGTTTGTTATGTCACACACT